TGTATTGTTCATCAAGCCAGTTGTGCGTGTTTGTGTGTTTAATTGGACCTCCCTGAGCCAGTCTCCAGGTGACGGGACTCATCTGCTCTTCTCCTGATTAAGAACAACAGATGGACGGGTAGGAACATGCACCCCCAACACACACACACAAAGCTCTTCCAGTCATGATGCATCATCAAAAACATTGAGTATGTATATTTTAACCATCATCTTGGCTGTGATCTATAGAAAAACAAACCGTTTAACAGTGAAGCATCTTGACTTCTAATAAAATACATACAACTCCTCTGTCCTCAAGAATCCACACATGAGCTTTACACCATTCTATTAATGCCTCAATTGGCTCATCCCATTGTTATTACCTTTGACATTCCCCCTTCCAACTGAATGAATGTAGAAGCATCACCTTCATTTCTCTGCAGATCACCCTCATTCTGCTTCTATAACCTGGCACCTCTGCTGTCCATCTCCATCTGCCTTACTGGCAAAAATTATGACTTAATTCATAGCAACACTGAAGAACTAGTAGCATAGAGATGTGAGTAAAACTTATACAAAGTCTTAGCAGCAGAATATGTCTCTATTTGCATTGCAAGTAGTTTTTAATTGTAGTCATTGTAGAATTCTAAGGTATTGCACTGATAAAAAGCTTCAAGAGTTTAATAACATTGACATAAAGAACGTACACATATTCAAATAAGTCCTTGTGAATATGCATGTGTGTCTAATAACATGGGTGCGTTTGAAGTATCGTATTCCTGGATAATGAATATATTTGAGAAGTGCAATTGATTACTCAAAAAGATATTATTGAAGAGGTTGTATGAAATAAGTATAAAAAAAGTATAAAATAAATGTTTTTCTTTATCTCTAATTCTCTACTTTCATTGGAACCTTTATTGAAATATTTTGTTTGGTGCAACTTCGGTGTAAAAAATAAGACAGGGGTGTTGTGCAAATATTTACGCAACCTCAGGGATTTGGGCTTGCATAGCTCACAGAGCTCAGTCAGCTTGTTAAGACCAGACATTGTACACAGTCATCACACAAAAAGGACAGATGCTGCAGATTTCAAAGTTTTGCAAGTACTTAAACCTTGTTCCTAGAAGCAGCAGAAGTGGCTTCTGTGAAAAAAAAAGCTCCTACTGAAAATTTATTTGCCGGCAAAATAGAAACACATGGAGAGTATGTGGAAATATACTTTGATAGCAGTTTGCTAATTTGTTGAAAACTTAATGAGGTCTAGATGACTGAGGAAACTTTTGGAGTATAGGTCAGTGGATTGTTTTGTGATTATTTGACTTCAAATAAGTAGTCACTTAGTAAAGTTCAGACTCTGGGGCAGCAGTGGTCATGTATGTTGAACTAATGCACCAACATGGTATATATAGAATGGTCATATTAGAAGCGTGTTTTCTATAGCATTAGCTCAGTTAGCTTCTTAAAGAGATAAGAAAAGTAGCAGTTTAAAACTCTAGTAAGCCATTGTTTTAAAAGTTCTAAGATTATCTGTTTTTATTGTTTTTATTTATTTAGAAATGTAGTTGATACAAAAGCTAAGTGATTAAGGTAATTTTTTGCTTAATAGGGGTAATTATGAACAAGGGACATGCACAGACAGACAGACAGACAGACAGACAGACAGACAGACAGACAGACAGACAGACAGAGATAGATAGATGATAGATAGATAGAGAATACCGCAAGTGCTTATCTGTGCATCCCCATCACACAAAAGTGATGTGTCCCACTAGATTATCTCAGGGAACCCTCAGCACAAAAAGCAGCATGCTCTCTCCTCTCCTCTCCTCTCCTCTCCTCTCCTCTCCTCTCCTCTCCTCTCCTCTCCTCTCCTCTCCTCTCCTCTCCTCTCCTCTCCTCTCCTCTCCTCTCCTCTCCTCTCCTCTCCTCTCCTCTCCTCTCCTCTCCTCTCCTCTCCTCTCCTCTCCTCTCCTCTCCTCTCCTCTCCTCTCCATACTGATGAATGGCTTAATTGATGTTTTGCCCATTCCCTTATTAGAGCGCCACAATGGAACCTGATATTATCCCAAATTTTGATATAAGTACATTGGTTATTCACCTCAAACCGTCATTAACCAAAAGCATCCTAAAAACCTGAAAGAAAAGTAAGATAGTGCAAATTGTTTATTTAGCCCTAGTGTGACATAATGATAGAGAACCTCATGTTGCTCATAGCTGCAATTGTCACATTGCCAACATGCTGGCCTAGTACATCAACAATTACCTATGATCCAATGAGCCATCCCCTCTTTTTTCTTTTCGCGTAATTAAAATTTGTTTTATTCACAAATATATATTCATGGTTTATTTCACTGGCATCCAGTTTAAATATTCTCCATATGAGGAAAGGAAAAAACAAGTTCTCAAAGGTAAAAACAGAATCATACTGTAGCGAGTGTGATTTGAATCGTAAAAACAGAGTCTGATAGCATGTGGTAATATTTCGCTATGTTTAAATGTACAGTTACTTGGATATACTCATATCTGCGCTTTTTCATTCTCCCCAAGTTATACTCAAAAACGATTTTGTACAGTTACCGTATATGCAGCCGGTTGTTTTTACGGACGCAGTCAAAGGTGTAATGGATGACTGCTGGTTCCTTCAGAATTTACATTTTCTCCTATCACTCATTGTTTAATTTCTCTGTGTCTAACGGTGTGATATTAAAAGGATCATTCAACTATCAGGATCTCCTGCTGCTGAGAGAAGAAAGAGGTTCTTCCACCTCCTGGTAGTTTTACAATTATATACAAGTGAACATACAGACATAGTGAAAGCAAACCTTATTGAGCTTATTTTTTATCATGATCTGGAGTGGCTTTACTTAACTGTGGACTTTGTAGTGGACACTGTATACTGAACAAATTCACTACACATGTCCTGTTCTTTTACTGTAATCCCTACATTATTGAAGCTGGAGTGAATCAGCTAATGTTGGGCTGAAGTCCTGCTCCTCTCATTGTCATCTCTTAGATCACAACAGGGACAATGATTGTTAGCCGATTTCATAATTTGCTGAGTCCATGTCTTTTTCTGCCTCTTCTACCCCCCAAACCCCAGAACTGTGCTTTATTGCAAAGGGAGGTGTTCAGAGTTTAACAAAAGAGTGAATGAGTTTATAAAAAGCATCGACTTACCATAGGTAAAAGTAGTCTATGATTTGGACAAAAGATAGATTGAGTCAATAAATGTGTGCAGGCAGTTAAGTAATTTATTTAGACAGCAGGGTTTAGTGCTTTAGGAGTTGTGAAATACTCTAAATGGTCCCTAATGTCCTTATCTAACTCTTTGCTTTTGTATAGCAAAGATAGTAAACAAGGCACATCTTTGTTAAACATTTAATTTAAATGCACAGATAAGCCCAAATGAGCTTGTTAAGCTTCATGCACTACTTAAAATTCTGTTAACAAAGTATTGTTTTCTGTAAAGAACGGGGGATTTTAATTTCATTTCTGTGAATATCTGAAAATATTCTGTGATGATCATAGTATTTTGATATTTAAATTATTAGCGGACATCTTATGACTTATCAGGGCTTGTAGTTAATCTTACTGATCTGTTCATTTTTGTGATCTCATGTACACTTCTATTGCAATCAACTGGTAGATTGCAGTAATAACTTGTTTTGTTAATGCCAATTTGACTGCTTGAAAAACTAACATATGACATTATATAACATAAGTCAATTAATTAAACATAGCTATTGTTACATAATGTTCAAGCTATCTGTTCCTGTAATATATCTCTTATAATGACGGCAGCCAATGGATCCATATGCTACATAAGCTGCCCTTTTTCCACTTGAGCACCTGCTCCTGAAAATGCATCTACATGTAACTTTCACAACTACATGCAAGCTTGTATTAACATTAGCTAACTTTGTCAACTTTTACACGTCAGTTTACAAGCATATCTTTAATTATTTTGCTGGGAATATATTTGCAGTGAATAACCAGAATAATTATTTATAGGCTATCAGATTTGGTAAGATTTGTAATGTCAGTGAATATAGGCCACCATGATAACCATTGTGTTGTATATTGAGCATTTCCTCCAACAGTCATCTCTACAGCATTGTGTATTTGTGGGTCAAAACCAAATAGCACGGTAAACTGTGGATGGCTGTATGTTTTTCATAGCTAGTTCATAAAGGTGTATAAATTAAACGTAACCTAAGCTACATTAACAAGGGAATTTACTTTCTATATTTGAAAAGATGCCAGACTAACCAGAGAAAGAAAAAGTTGAAGAAAGCAAGGAATCCCTTATTCTGAAAAAGGTTCATTCAAAAAGTCTAGAAAGTTGCCAGTGAACCCACTCTGACCCTCAAGCGGATATTACCCTACCTACATATTAATCCTGTGGTTAGGCTACTGTAAAACACTCCATTTGGTCTACTCCCGCTTTGCCTTCAGGGCTACATTAATGATAATTACTAAGCTCTCAGCATGCCAGTTAATATCCCCCTTTAAAAATCCTTGTCATCGCAAAGGAAAAAATAGGAAAAAAGAAAAATTAGAGTAAGCTTAGAAGGAAGAGAAAGAAGTATTTTGTCCCCCCCAAAAAAATATGAACAGTGGGATAGTTAAACAAAACAAAAAAAAAAAACTGTTTAACAATGAGATAGCTAAATCGACGATTGCTTGAAAAAATTCTATTCTTATCTTCCCAAAACATGGCGCATTTTCTCTCTCTCTCTCTCTCTTGCTCGTTCATCCCCCCAACACACATCCCCCCCCCCCACACACACACACACATACACACAAAAGGAGAGTGAAAGACAGGAAAAGAAAGAGAAGAGGGGGTGATAACAGCTTTAATAAATCATCTGGGCCAGTCGCAGCTCCCAGGGGATGCGGGATGGATTAAATTAAGCACTCTCTCCACCCTTGTGTCTATCCATCCATCTATCCATCCATTCTCTCTCTCTTCCCCCTCTCTCTATTTCTCTCTCTCTTCTTGGTATAAATGCCAACAGCTGATCGCGAGACGACACACTTGCGGGAACAGCTCGAAGCAGAGAGAGAGGCGAGGAGAAGAGAGTGAAGAGAGAGGGATCCAGAGAGAGAAAGAGGGGAATCTGTTGATTCATAGGATCAATTTTTATACAATTCTTTGACTTAAAGGGAATTAAAGGACACTTTTTTTTTCGTATAAAGGGATTTTAAATCCATATATATTGGCGTCCTGTTATTCTTAGAGATTTTTAAACCTCTTATTTTTCTCGCATCCCTCCCTCATCATCTGCATCTTCCTCCTCCATTTCTTATTGAAAGAAGCCCGAGCTCTGCGGGGAGTCTTCAATCGCCTTTTATTTCTTTTGTTTTGTTGTTGTTGAAAGCCTTCAGTCTTCCTCTTGTCAGCGAGCGCAAAAGAAAAAAAAAAGCACGAGGCTCCCCACCCCTCCTCCTCCCTACACTGGGAGCTGTCCGGTGCTGAAGTTGCATTTCCTTCCTTCCCTGCAGGAGGACTGAACAGGGCAAGACAGGGACACTCATTTACTGTTTTGACTAAATCATTCGGCTGCTCGGTTCCCACCCCAACCTGAAGACAATCGGCCCCTTTACTCAGTGTGTTTACGGACGGGATCGCCACGCTGGCCAGGCCGTCGGCGATCGGCTTTGCATCCGCGCGAGTGTGTATCGCTGAGTCCGCGTGTACCTTGTGTTTGTGGTGCTCGCGTGTGTGCCGGCGTCTCTCATCACCATGCCAAGGTCTTTTCTGGTGAAAAAGGTGAAACTGGATGATTTCTCCACCGGGGCGGACCTGGAACACGCCTACCGGCACAGGACGGACCTCAGCCTGCGGCTGCATGACAAAGGTAGGTCAGGCTGTCTACACAGCGCGGGACTAACAGGTGTCTCAGATACAGATCGATTCCAGTAAGGCGGAAGGAGGTGAAGTCAGGAGAGGAGGGTGGGAGCAGGTTTCTGTAATAAGACTGGTCTTTGATGCTTCAGACAAAGAGCTGACTTTACCTGATATTTTGAATAATTTTTGTGTGTGATTGTTTTACATTTTACCAGGCTGATAAAAAAAAATCGGAACTATAGCGGGATAAAAAGGCTGCTTCAGATGTATATCTAAAGTATAGCAATAAAGAAAAAACAGACCAGCATAGTCAGGCTGGTTGGTACACAGTCCCATGTACAACCACATGGATAAACAATTCAGAAGCTTTAGAAGCACAATTTTATCAAACTCCTGAATAAGGAGGTCTACCTCTGCCTAAACACTTTACACTGAGAGGAATGACAACACCCAGAGCGATCACTCTTTATGTGCCATATAGGTGTGAGAATATATCCTGAGTAGATACTTTGAGAGAAGCCTCTAATCAAATGTCCTTCTTGACTGCAGTCAGTAATAAGAGATTGCACACCTGAAGGTCTTCCTGTTCCACCTGTGAACATCATATAATGAATCTAGCAGCAGTATTACAGTTTGAATATGTCTGTCTCTCTCTCCCCACAAGAGACACCTTCAAAAAGTTTTAAATGGGGTGGCCCTATGAGGAGGTCAGTTATAATGCAGTGTTGGCACACCAAACTAAAACCTAGAACATACTTTATGTTTGATTCAAGTTACTTTTTCTATCTTATTTTTCCTGCCACTTGGAGCAGGTATCAAAAAATACCTCAACAAACTGTACAGCAAATATCGTTGTGGAAACCTTAAGTGAATAAATGGAAATATATCGAATAAAAAAACAATACAAAGATAAATCTGGATAAAAATATGAAGTCTTTGTTTGTATGTATGGGTTTACATGTATGATGAAGCATATTATAATTTGTCAAAACGGGGAGTAAAAGCTCATCCTCTGGGATTATGCTCTGGAATGAATGAATGTCAATGGTCATAATGTTATGCCTGATTAGATTTTTATTGCATTTATTTCTTCTAGAAGTACATGTTTTTATATCATGGTATTGTCATATTGTTACAGCTAATCCTAATTTCAGTTTCCTTTTAAAACCCTTCAACAAAATGAGTGTTGTAGTAAGTAAGTCTGTTTAATCAATTATTAGTGAACAGCTTCAGACAGCATAGAGTTATCACATGGTCGTTACCACTCTCTTATCTTTCATTCTCTCGATCAGCTATTGAAAATATAACAAAGTTAAATTATACAGCTACTTGTCTTGGTGCAGTAAGGTTCACTTTGTGAAATTAACCATCTCAAGAACTTCTTGTCAGCTTCATTGATTCTGCCCAATGTTCAGCTGGGACCCTCTTGTGCCCACACAGAAAAATAAGAAAGAGCAAAAAAAGATAAAGACAGTGCATGTAATGTTAGTTGTTTACTTCTGTGGGAGTATAAATTCATAACTTTCACACATGCTTGACTGAAGATGTACCAGAGCCACCTCCTTGGTGTCTTGAAGGTTGCAGATAAAATTTCAGATCAAAAATGGACATTGTTCCCTGTTTAAAGCAGTATACTTTACACCTCTGACACACTGATACACTACTACCAGTGCAATATTGACAGCTAAACCAGTGATTTGTTTTCTAACATTAAACAGTGCAATACACTGCTGCAAAGCCAGTTTAGTATCTGACATGTTTGTATATTAAACTGACCTTATCGGAGGCTGGTCCTCCAAACACACTCTATACTGTTTCCTAGCACCAGGTGTTACTGCTCTATTTTTGCAGTGTAGGCATTTTTTTTTTTTTTTTGCACACTGGTTTTCTCGCTCTGGATGATTCCCTCTCTACCTGCAACAGCTACCATAATTTCATAATTTTAAACTGCAACATGAAAACTGTAACATGAAAAAAAAATCAAGTAGAGAAATAACTAATTCTGTTTATTCTAACACATAAGAAAACAGAGTAAAAAATAAACGTCAGAATATTTAAATTTTCAAGTGTAATTACTTATTAAATGCTTTCATTAAAACAGTTTCTCTATCAATTTTTTCAATAGTTTTTAGGAATTCCTGAAACATTTGTGGTCATTATAATTTGGTATAGAAATAGACCATTTTCTTTTTTTTATCTTTGGCAAAGTTATTTACTCAAACCAGACAGTCTCTTTTAATAAAAACTAACTCTTATCCTTTATATTTGTCTCTCAAAAAGATATAAAAAAAAATACTTTTATTGTGAAATTAAAAAATGTAAATTTAGATTTAGTTTTTTAGGTCTGCTTAATAGAAATAGACCCTGCTATGATCATTATAAGATAACTGATTATGAAAGCTCCATCATACATAACATTTTAGCTATGTGCATCAAGGAACAAACTGCTTTGTTTTCACCTGGGACTCGATGACAAATTGTTACACGCCAACACGCGTCCTTTAAGCCAGAAATCCTGTGCTCCTGAAATAAAATAGGTTTTTAATGTTGAGGTTAACAAACTTAACAACCTGCCTGGTTTGACAAAGAGCTGTGAGTAACGCAATCTGTCTCAGCCACCTTTTCTCTCCATCTCTCTGATTTAATCAGCTCAAAGCAGCTTCTTCAAACAGGGCCACAACAGAGGACAATTTAAGGAAAGTTTTTTTTTTTTTGCCTGAACCAACTAGCCTTAAGATTCATTATTTATATGTATATCTTATCAATGTTCCACCGCTGTGGAGATGTCGGCAATGTTTATTCTCATGGGAATGCGAACTTCTGTTATCAAATGTAAACAGATATATCTGCCAGATGGAATTTGTTACCTCTACAATGCAAAAACTAGCGGACCTAATATGCTAAGGGTCAATGAAATTGAAAATGAATGATGTCAAAGATGTCAACCACCAAATTAGACTAAACTGACTGCATATTTTACACAATTATCTTATTTTAGACATGTAAAGGGACCGTAGCAAGAGTGGCACAGGAGTAGAAGTAATAATGAAACATATGACTACAGCTAATTCTCAGTGTAAATGGAAATGTGTGGGTAAAAGTACCAGTGGGAAAAGTGTAGACTGGCATGACTAAGCAGACAAAGAAATAACTCTTAGACTGTTAAAAGTGCAACTGACAAAACAAAGCATTAACTATAACAATATCCAGAGCATATTTACATAAAAAAATAAGTATTTGGTGGATGTATAGTAGATCAGTTTAAAATACAATATCTTTGACTAAAGTGCAGTTAAAAATATTGTGCACCTAGCAGTTTTACAGATTTTGAGTCCTTTAATTTGTATTTGCTGGGATTGTTCTGTTTTAGAAAAAGCTGTGGTTTATTACTATACTATGATACCTGTCTTTAACTTTAATTATCATATAAAGAAACAGTCATTTTATGTGCAGATTCATATATAGAGCAATATAACTTGATGCCTTTACATATTTTGGTCAGTAGACATAATTGATTAGCAAATGATGAATGGCTTGTACATGCAAAGTGCTTTATGAAGTCCAAGGACTTTAAAGCACTGTACACTTGAATACATATACATTAAATTATTTAAAGAAATGATATATGTAATCTATTTTTTTTTTAACCAAAAATAAATTGCCTTGAAACAGCCTCCTCTGATAGCAGAACATAGGAACAAAGGGGTTTTAATAAAAGCTGCTTTATTCATCTGGTTAGTCAAAAGGTTAAAACCAACAGGTCACTAACCCGAGTGAAGCTGCATAGAGACCCAGTTGCCATTAAAATTGATCTGTCTGTGGTACTGATTCTTGCTTTTGCGTGCTGTATCAGCTTCTTTTCGCTCATGTTTAAGGTTAGCCAGTGTGAATTCTTCATTTAAAGAGGGAGTTTTTTTTTCTAAAAAAAAACTCCCTCTTTAAATGCTCTTGAGGGCCAAAAGGAAATGTATTACTAAATTAGTGCAAGACGTACTGCAGATCCTCTCACACCACCTCTTACAGTCACAGGTGTACAGGAGAAGAGGCAGCTGTCTGTCTCATGAAAAGATTTACTAACAGAAGTTTGAGACAAACTCTGAAATGAACTTCTGTTACTTTGGTTACACTAACTGAACGTTGATTTCACACTTAACCACTTATGCAGGACCTGGAAACAGTTGCTGCCGCATTACTACAGTACTGATACTGAAGGACTGCAACTGTCAGTGCAGGCAAGCTTTCACATCTGATGATTTTAAATGCTATATAGGAAACAATTAAAATCTATAATGATAATAATCTAATATACACTCCCTCCAACATGATTCCTCCATAATTTTCATGTCTTATTGCACCTTTTAATGCAAAAGCTTATTTCAATCTGAAAAACTCAGATGAAGAGAAAAGACAATTAGAATAAATTTATTGACACAATTACTTGGTCTTTGGAGCTCAGACCTCGGCAGGAAACATAGTGCTGAATTTTGATAGATATGCATGAACAGGAGTAAAGAACAGGGCTGTTTCCCCCCCAGGCCTGAAACTGTTGGTGGAGTGGAGGTAGATGAAGTTGGTCAGTCTGTAGGATGCTTGTTAGGGAGACGGTATGCTGAGCTTTAAGGGGAGATTCAGTTGACTGCGTGAACTGGAACTAGAGCTTTACTCAGGGACCTGGAAGATGAAAGTCCAGTTCGGATAACACAGGTTGAGAGAACCTGTCTATGACGAGAAAGCATGAAGCGACAGTGGAGAGGAAAAACTCTGTTGGGAAGAAGCCTCTAGCAGAACCCGGCTCAACATGGTGGTTTTCTGCTGGACCGGTTGCAAAGAGATGCAGGATGCAGTAGGAGTCCTGGAGTAATGAACTGCGATGAAGTTTTAGCTGCGATGTTGGAGGAGGGGCTGGAGGTGGGTTGAAACAGGGTCATCTGAATGAAGTCAGACGGTGCAACCACTGCCTGCGCACCAGGCAGACAAGTTGTGGATCGGAGGCCTTTTAAGATGAGCTTTGGATGCTGATTGGCTTTCGTGTAGGTGTGGTTCAAAGCTGATTTGTTGTGTCATACGTGGATGTAGAAGATCAATCAGTTTCTTCAGTTGAACTTCCGCCTAGGCCCCATTTAATACACAATAATCACAAGCTTGGTTTATAGTTCTCAACACCAAATTTCTATATCATTTTTTTTAAATCAATTTGTGTTGCATGCCATGGTGCTTATAGTGATTTTAACATGATCAAGTGCTTACCAATTGAAGGGATATGATATTTTCTGTAATAAAAATGTGCAACCAACTCTAAAGCCCTGCTGTGTCTTTTAATTGCTGTTTGCAACTAGGGTGGATAACTATCAATGTAAAGAAAGAATGTGGTAATTCATGCTCGATTAGCTTTTGTATACTTGGGTAGTGTTCTTCATTACTGTGCATGTCAAGAGAGATAAGCTTTTGAAACGTAGGTATTACATGACTAGCTGTTTGGAGGATTTTAATGGTTTTAATCCAACCTCATTGATGTATTAATCACTGCTTTGTTCTAGGGGAACTGTATGTATGAACAGCTATTAATAAATATTATTTTTATTGTATTAGCAGTTCTCTGAGAGTTTACTCTTATTATATACTGCCTTGCAAAAGCATTCATACACTTGAACTTTTTCAGATTTGTATTACATTGTGATCTACTATTCTAATCTGATACCTACTAACCTACTTAGGTGTAAAGACAATTAAGAAATGCTTAAAAAACAATTGTATGAATTAAAATTTGGAAGGTGGGGCTTGCATTTTTACACAGCTCTCAGATCTCTGATCTCCTTAAATGCAATGTAATTGCAAGTGTTTTATTGTCACCTAATTATAAACAAAATCCATTGGGGTGTAATTTTCTCTTAACGTGAATTGATCTGATCTGTGAATTTTAGAGGTTTAAAAGAGAAGATTAGTAAATAAACAGCATTAAGAGGACCACTGAACATATTAGAAGGTCAGCGATAAGGGTAGGGATTACTTATACAAATATATCATAAGCTTTTAATATTTATTGACACTTCACTCCATAGACAGTCCATAGGACATTTCACTCCTAGTGAAGATCCCTATGTTACAGTGGAGGAGCTGCAGATATCAACAATTTATAAAATATTGATATGTTAACTCATGCATATATTTTATCTTAAAAGAAGCATCAAATACAAGGACATAAAAAATTAAGGTCCAGTTTGCAGTTTGTGACCATCTATGTAGGGAATACAGCAAGCTTATGGGCGACTATACTCTGCCCAGACAAGACCAAAGCTAGCATTTTGCCTCACAACCAAGATGCTGTTGGTGGTAAAAAAAAAACTAACTGTAGATTATTAAGAAAACGTCATTCATGCTTGAAATTTTATTTTGCAGTGTCCTACCATGAAGAGGCTTTACTTAAAAAACAAGAAGAATACTGGTCAGAGTCAACTGGAAAATGGATGGAACAAAATATAGGACGCACTGTAAGAAAAGCTGTTAAAGTTTGCAGAAACTGAATCCCAGCAGGACAAAAACCCTAAACATGCAGACAGAGCTACAATTAAGTAATTTAGATGAGCATATTCATAGGAAGTTTATAAAAAAAAATTCAGACTGCACTTTAGTCATTTACCAAACAAGGGCAAACAACAATTTCAGTATCTAGTTGTGTAGAACTAAATCAAACAGTCTAACAATTATATATCAAAATTGTGCCCTACTTTGCCTTGCTCTGTAATATTAAACTTCTATAGAATTCACTGACGTTTGAAGTTGTAACATGACTGAGTGTAAAAGTTTAAATAAAGTTAGTTTTGTAAGACATGCATACTTATTTTATTCTTCAGAGTCTGACTAATATATCGAAGGTATTTCAAAGATAGTCATTCTAAGCCAGTTCTGTTTCTTTCAAACATTTCCTTGACTACAACTTTGTTATGACACTACTTTCTTTTTTCCACCTTAGCTGCCCACATCAGTGACTACATCAGTCCTGTGGTGTACGATGGGGAGAGCGATGGCGGCATCAAGGTACCCTCTCCTGATCCCCTCTATGATGGTATCCATAGCGACTACGGTGCCCCCGACTCAGAGTCTCCGGACAGCCCAGGCTCGGAAATCACGGATGGCTACATCAATGGGGACACCGCAGTGAGTGAAGGATACACAGTCGATGCCTTCTTCATCACAGATGGCCGTTCAAGAAGAAAAGCCCTCGGTAGCCCCCGGAGCGTCCAAAGGCATACCTGTAATGAGTGCGGCAAAACCTATGCCACGTCTTCCAACCTGAGTCGGCACAAACAGACACATCGCTCGCTTGACAGCAAGCTAGCTAAGAAGTGCCCCACCTGTGGGAAGGTGTACGTGTCCATGCCCGCCATGGCTATGCACCTGCTCACTCATGACCTCAAGCACAAGTGTGACGTCTGTGGGAAGGCATTCAGTCGGCCATGGCTCCTGCAGGGTCACATGCGCTCCCACACTGGGGAGAAACCATTTGGGTGCGCCCACTGCGGGAAGGCCTTCGCGGACCGCTCAAACCTGCGTGCCCACATGCAGACCCACTCAGCCTTCAAGCACTTCAAATGCAAACGCTGCAACAAGACCTTCGCACTCAAGAGTTATCTGAACAAGCACTATGAGTCCGCCTGCTTCAAAGGGCCCTTCTCCCCCCTTGGCCCATTAGAAGCATGACAACCTATAAAGAGATCAAATGAGCAACAAAACTGCAGACACAAATTACCCTATCCTTAAAGACTAAACTGCAGACGGTATATTTTTGGTCAGAATGCGACCTTGCTTTCCCTCCTTCTACCTCCCTAACCCCCACCCTCCCACACACTTCCTCTCCCTCGGAGCCTGTCCACAATGACGAAAATGATGAAGATAGCACAATTTTTCTCCTTGAGATTTTCCCACTTAAGGATTTAAATGATTGACGCATGCACTTCCTTGAAATCTCTTCACATCCTTTTTTTTCCTCTGTCTTTTCAGGGCAGAGACACTGATATTACTGCAGCTTTCTCCTGGCATCTAAATATGACTGCGTGTATTTTCAAACATTAATGATGATGAGAAAAGTGACAAAGACCATAGCGATTATATAGCTACTAGTTTTCCCCATGCACTGAAATGCAGTGAAAGTGTTGTTTTTTTTTCATTTGGATTCTGCTTTTTGGGGGAACAGTAGAAATAAGAATAGTAATAATGCTGAGGATAATATTAATAATGCTCTGCTGCACCAAGTGACCATAATCTCTCCAGTATTGAGGTAAAAATATTTATTTATTTATTTAAGCAATTTTCGTTTTTATTAATTTGTTGCATTTTTGTACTTGATTTTTTGACAACAGAGGCTGTTTATTTGCACTTTAAGTTCTGGATATGTCTTTTTACCACTACAGGCCAAAGCATATGTCACTTTTTTGAGTAGAATTGTTTTGATTATGTTATTTTCCTTCTTTTTTATTAACATTATTGCATGCAAAAAAAAAGAAAAGTAATGAAACCTATGCCAACCACTTAAAAAAAGCTTATGAATTTTTGCCAAAATTCCTATAGATACAACCCGAGGGCAATATTTTTTTCTCTTGGAGCCTCCATAGGACTCTTTAAAGCAATAATCACCTAATGCATGGAATTTTATGATGAAGTTATGAAGTATTACCTACTACTGTATAGCAGTTCGAAGAATCAGGTATGTTTTACTTCACCTATAGTCATAAACGGAAAAATACTAACATTGCAAACATCAGGGATCATGCCAATGTAATGTTAGAGTGACAAAAAAGTCCCATCCTTCCTTTCTTGTTATGCACTGCCTGCCTCTTAGAGAGTAGAACTATTGTAGGATGTAGGCTGGGATCAACTGCCTGCTGGGTGCGGGGCCTATTGCAGGATAACTGAGCTGTGATTATGACACGCCCGTCACTGTTCTGCATCATCCATTCAACTGATGCACAGGTGTGTTCAAAAAAGTTAATATGGAAAATTAATTCATTTCAGTAATTAAATTAATGAACTGGAACTGAAAAATGAAAATAGATTAATTTGACACAGAGTAATAATTTTTTACCATCTATTTTTGTAAATTTGCTGAGCTAATGAAAAGCCTAAATCAAGTTTATCAGAAAATTTGAATATTAGGTAAAACTGCTAAAAGCTTTGGCTAATTTATCACCGACAAAAGACTAATGACTCTTCTAGCAGCCTTTAAACCTCCACAAAAAGTAACTAGTGCTTTAAAAGAATTCTTACACTTTTCTCTCAGCTTATCGTCAACATCCTTATTGATGACTGTGTCAGCCATGAGACAACATTTTATTATATATACATTATTAACTGATACCATGCAGTATTAACATATTTCTGCAAGATATATACTTTTGGACTTTCATTAGCTGTAAACCATAATCATCGAAATGAAAAAAACAAAACAACTAAAAGTAATAAAGACAGAGTCTAAATAATGTGTGATTTTTTTAATGGAATTACTGAAATTAATTACTTTTTCCATAATATTCTTATTTATCAAGACTGACATCTACTTTGAATTGCTGTTCAGTAAGAAACCAAAAGGAATTGAAGATAGGATGTGTTTAAACCTTAACTGAGAGACGGCAAGGGACTCTCTGCATGCTGTCACTGGAACAAAGCAAAGTTTGATGCATTGCTGAAGCTGGACTCAGGTCAGTTCTGACGGCAATACATTATTTAATCATCTCTCACTGAGTGCTTCCACCACATAAACTGTCCAATCTTCAACAACAGAAACAGACTGCACTTTGTCTGACCAGCTTGCTTATAATTCCGTTTCTTACAGCAGCTGCATGGAGCAGAGTATTATTCTGCAACAGGCCCCCCATTCACCACCCTGTAGGCTCACCTATGAGTGATATACCTACAGACAGGTTAACTAAAATCAGCTCTGACCCCATAAATAATTTAGCTTGTAATGTAGGTGGTCAACAGCAGTGATGCTGAACCCAGTTCTCTGCAGCTCAGAAAAGTTTTTTTTTTTTTTCAGATTCATGGAGCTTCCAATGAGACAGACTGAGCACAAAAATGACATTCTTAGAGCCCATCAATGTGAAATTATGACAACATACACTTTGTACATATTGTAACCTTAAAAAGAAAAATTTAAAATGTTGAACAAGTGCATCAATATGCATGCAAGAAAACAGTGCCTCATGATGAACCATTTGAAATAACAGATCTGTCTGCAAATATGTTTGGAAGTGGGAATTCACAAACCTTGATAATTACACTGCTTCCTGAAGACTGATGCCATTTGGAGATGATTTTGACAAAGGAAATCTTTATGAAAACAAGGACCAATAGAGTACCTATAGTTTTGGAGAGTTTTGAAGAGAATCCTTTCATAGATTCTACTTTATCTGCAATGATGTCAAAAGAAACTGTCTAAAGATAGTAAGAGGTTTTGCCAGATTTAATCTTTGTTACAGCTGAAGCTAAAACAACAACACAAACTGTGTTATGCAGGCTTCTGTGAAAGGTAAAAATATTTTGCCATTAATTCGGAAAAAAGGAGCAAGAATCAACCAGATGTTGCTCTTGTTTAAGTGCGAAGAATTTTGGCTTAAGTTAGTGAAAATGTATTAAATCATCAGTCAGAGCTAAAATGTTTAAAAACTTACTTTTATTTCCCTTCAGCTTGCAAATAGAGGAAGACTAGTTTGTACAATACTTAAGTTCAATATTGAATTAAATGCTACAGTACTGCATATGAATCAATTCTTTTCACAGCAAATTCACACAACAGAACAAAGCTCTGATATAGCCCTTATATTTCTTAACCTTAACTCAAATATCTACTCTCTTAGAGATGTGGCATAAACAGCAGTTTTAAGAGCCATAGCAAACTTCTGTGCAGCGACTGATTATATGCGATGAGGCTCCGAAGCTGCTTCCTGCTTTAATGTCTCCAAGAGTTGGTTTATAGACTTTGCACGCTACTTTAACTGTCTCCTGGGCGTTTGGCTGAAACTCTCATGAGGCTTTTCAGTGGTATTAAACCAGAAGGAATACATTATGAGGTCTGTCTGCTTGGGTCTGTCTCCTAGTGAGCTCCTGGTCTGGCCTTTTTTAAGTACTTCCATTGTAGACATCTCCACCTTTTAAGAAAGTAGCACAATGAAACTAACTAGAAATCAGGTAGAGAAGAATTATATATATATAAAAAAAAAACAACTTGTACTAGCTTGACCTCTCTTCTTCTTCTTTTGTAATTCCAAGTTAAAGAATGATGAAAGCCTAAATAATGAATTATTTGAGAGGAGTTTGCAAAGAATCCTTAGGGTTGAGATGTTTTTACTGCTCTCTAGCGATTCTGACATACCTTTACTCAGGAGGGTTGGATCTCTGTTCCAGTATTGAGCCAGTATTCAGACAATGTAAGCACAATGATCACAAAGCATTTTGTGGCACTTCATAATAAAGAATACTCTTAACCAACCAAGAATAGTTGTTGTAGCGATATGTTTTTTGTCTTATGATTCAAGCTGCCTTTTAGTCATTGTGGATACTCAACAGTGCTTCACTCTTGGGGAAATAATACACATTGTACAGGTCTCTTCTACCTAAGTAGCTTTTAAACCAATTCATACTAATGTGCAAAGTTTTCTTTGCTCCTCAGAGGAGTGCTTAGTTCATTTACACAGGAGAAAAACACTTGACTCTGAACTAAACAGCTCTTAGTTTGCATTAGCTTTGTCAATATTGTATGTTTAAAGAGCCGCTGAGCTGACATTAATTCACAGCAAGCTCGTTAGCATTTTCTAAGCTGCCTGGGTGGTAGTTTGATACTGCAGTTTGATAATGCCTTAAAAGTTGTTTAAACTCTGATTTACAAAAGGTCATGTTTAATGCTACTATTTCAAGTACTTTTCTATATAGTTAACTGTATAGAAACATTCTAGATATATGCTCAAAAGAATATGAAGTTATGTTATACCCCTGACTAAAGGAATGTTTTAAACAGCTTAACAACTTGCTCATTTGCTTCACACAGGAATTATATCTCAAGACAGGAATATCTCATGTCTTAGGTATGAAGAAAAAGCATTTGGAAATGTTTGAAGTTTTATGTTGTCAGGTTTGAATTATTAGCTCATCTGTCTTAAGTTGTTATTACCTATTTTTTATATTGTCATGTATGTTGGTTTATGCAGCAACAGTCTTGAAGTGCTGAATAAAAGGTTATATTTAACCCTGTAGATAGAATCGATTTAGAAGCTAGCTTCCAGTTAATCTCTCTGCCAACCATTCAGTACGACACTTCCAATTTCCTACCTTTAGTATCTGTACTTGATTATTTTTTTTTTCTTTCTGTAACTGTTGCCTTTGATATTTAAAGTTGAACTTGTCAGCAAAATTTCTTACATTTTTTTTTAACGAGTTCATATTAATAGTCAAGAAAAGTTACTATTTTATCAACACTGTAACTCCTTTGAGATTATTATGTATGAAGGTATTGATTTGGCTGGTGTCTAGCAATATATCAAAGAGTACTCTAAGATTGATTGCCGTGATTGATTGTCTAAAGACACAACAGGAGCCACAATACTTCTGCTGTGTCTATAGATCTAAAGGAGAGGAAATTAAAGGAAAATTCCGGTTTTTAACACTTTTAGCCCCTTTTCTGTAGTGTCCAGGATGAAATCGAATGATCGACACCAAAATTTTGACAATTGGTCCTGTCTTGGCTATTTGGCTCATGCAGAATCCCCCCCTGGCTGCTTCAGAATGGCTTGCATAGTGCATGTTAGATAATGTCCTTAAAACAACCTTAAACGTTCTTTTTTTAAAATATGCTACTCACCGAGTCGTCAGCGCTGTTCATTGACGTTCCAAAAAAAGTTTCGTAAAGAAAAAACATTCCTGTAGTGTTTAATTTAGCATTTTGTAAATCCCATTGAGTTCTGTTGGAATAGTCAATATCCCTCCGACACCGGAAACGGAAAGGGGGCCTGTTTACGCTTAGTTGTAGTCTTTTCGCAAGGCCCAAGTGTTTCTGCTTCACTCTGTGTACTCCGACGTCGAGGTGCTAACGTCTCTGTTAAACACTTTAAAAAACTCTGAAAATGGAATACGAAAGGTGGATTCTTGAGGAGGACATATTGGACTTTGAGTTTGACGGTAGAGGATACCGTTTTGAACCGGAATATACTGAGGAGGAGTATATAGAGACATTGTCGCCAACTAGTGGTCTGGAGTGTGCAACGCTTCAGATTCGAACGGGAAGCGGAAGTTTATGAGCGGTTGTGATGTATTGGAAAAAATAGTTCTGGGATTTACAAAATGCTAAATAAAACGAGACAGGAACGGTTTTTCTTCACAAAACTTTTTTTGGAACGTCATTGAACAGCGCTGACGACCCGGTGAGTAGCATATTTTAAAAAAAGAACGTTTAAGGTTGTTTTAAGGACATTATCTGACATGCTCTATGCAAGCCATTCTGAAGCAGCCAGGGGGGGATTCTGCATGAGCCAAATAGCCGAGACAGGACCAATCGTCAAAATTTTGGTGTCGATCATTCGATTTCATCCTGGACACTACAGAAAAGGGGCTAAAAGTGTTAAAAACCGGAATTTTCCTTTAAGGGAATTGTATATAACAAGTTCTGTTATTAGGGCCGCACAGTGGCCCAGTGGGTAGCACTCCTGCTTTGCAGCAAGAGAGTTCCGGGTTCAATTTCCGACCCGGAGTCTTTAGCATGGAGTTTCCATGTTCTTCCTGTGCATGTATGGGTTCTCTCCGGATATTGTGTATTCCTCCCACAGTCCTAAAACTTACCTGTTTAAATTCTCCTTAGGTGTGAGTGTGTGTGTGAATGGTTGTTTGTCTCTGTTTTACATTGTGATAGACTGGCAATCTGTCCAGGCTGTACCCCGCCTCTCGCCCATTGACCCCAGCAGGGATAAGCATGACAGAAAAGGGATGGATGGATCGAAGTTATGAAAAAATTTATTTTATTTATGATGCACCTCTATGACACATGCATTAAGGAACTGATCGTGCCTATACTGCAATTATTATTGTATTAGCAGTTTTAATTGTTAATTCAGTTGACTAAAATCTAAAATATAAAGTAAAAAAAAATGACTAACACAAGAATGAATTTTGATAAATATGTTTTTTGTTTACAGTGCCCCATCAAGATTAACACTCAAATCATATGCTTCTATCCAACTGTCATTCGAATTTTGAGTGAATTAAAGGTTTTGCAGGAGAAAAAAAAAAAAGAAAAAAAAATAATATATCAGTTATGCACGCCTCAATAAACTGGTATTGAGAGTATTAACCAGGCTATACAAAGCATCATCAATAATTTGGGTATAGACACATGTGAATAGAAGTTTTTTTTGGTGAATACTTATTGTGCACAAAAATGAAACTGAAGAAACAATATGTCGTCCTCTGGAAAATGTTCTCATTTCCTGCAGAGTGCAACTCAGCCTTAAGTGAAGCTGCAGTCAAGCATTCCCCCAAATGCATTCACTCTCAAAATCTATTTTTGCTTTGCCAACATCTGTGTATCTACTGCAATAAACTATGTACAGTGTCTATACTAAGCTACCTGTGCAGCTTCAACAAAGAAAGAATGCAGCCTCTGGCAGCGTTATGAAGAGCAGTGTATTTGCCAACCCTCAACAGATTATTGGTTTCACAGTAGCTGCACAAAGTCAGAACAACGACTGCCTACACCCATGAATCACCTTCTTCTCTCTCAGTTCTGTCTTCAAGCATCTCCTCTCCTCATATTTTTTTCCTCTTATCTTTCACCTTTTCTTTCTCTTCTCTCACATAATTTTTTTTCCCTCTTGTCCAACCACCTCTTCTTTTTCCTTTCCTGCCGAGTCAAACCAGGCCATCGGGCCTTTGAGGACCTGAAAGTCATTTAACTCCTAGTAGATAATAAGTCTTAGAATATAGCTCTTCTCAGATAATAAGCTTTATCACTTGATTGCTCTGCACGCTCCCTACTGTCTCTAGATTCATGTCCGGGGACCTACTTGAGAGGATTTTACTCTTTCTTTCCGGGCAAGTCGAATGAACAGTGTGTGTGTATGGATCAGTAAAAGTGTGTGTGTGGATATGTCCATACACACTTGTGGGAACAAGCAAGTGCTGAAGAGGCAAAATAAAATAAAAAAAAATAAAGTGCTGTTTTGTGTGGAGTAGTTGTCCATTTGGTGAATAAAAACCTCATCAATGGGGTTGAATATCTGAGATATTAAACTGTTTACACTATCTCTGTTCAAATTTCACTCTGAATACCATATAGAGAAGAAATGTCTTTTGCTATTTTTAAGTTATCTTTTGCATTAACATTTTAGACTTGTGATTTCATGTTATTCCCTGTGCCTTATCTTGTCAGGATTTTTCTTGCTTGTCTTGTTACTAAGACTGGTTTCCTTTTTGAAATTGTGTAGAGTTAAAAATAGATTTCTGAGTGTTTGGCTGATTCGGTAGGTCTGCAAAGTGAAATGGAAAGAAAAAGCAACTGAAACCTAAAACCATTCAGAGTAAAATTGAGCCAACATTTAAATCCCCCTGAATTAAATGGAATAAGTCTGATACTTTACACATAGAGATTTGATTTTAATTTCATGCCTTGATTAATCAGTCGATCAGATCTTTGTTGTAGAACAGAACAAGGCCTCAGAAAGAAAAGTTTTTTTTTCAAATGAAAGCTATTTGTTTTTCTGCGTTAGCTTGGGGTTTTTACTTTGCTATGGACATGGGTCAGAAATCTAACTTCCAAGTCCAATCCTCGTTGTCATTTAAAGTGAAGGCTTAAAGTTATCCATTTGTAAATTCATCCACCCAACAATAGCCTACATATAGGCTATAACTTTGTAATACTTTCACAGAAAATATTACAAAGTGTTTTACAGACTGTAAATAAAATAATAACACCAATAAAAGCTAAATATAAAACAAAGACAGTAGGAGCAGGTCATACAACAATAAGCAGAATGCTTGAGTAAAAGCTTATCTTGATAAAAGTGTCTTAAGCTTTTTATTAAAGGAGTCAAGTAAGAGATTCAACAAAACAGAGAGACAGGGGCAGGGCGATACAAATAGTGGGGGTTTCTACCTGAAAGGACAGGTTGCCCTGAGATTTCAAGTCTTGGGGGCATTCAGGAGGACTGAATACTGCAGCCTTAAGAATAAGGGACTTACATTCAGTTGATGGATTTGGGGTGTGTGTGTGTGGGGGGGTGGGGGGTGGGGGGGGTTACCATAAAAGCGTAGTCATGACTAAAATTTATTCAAAATTTGACAGGTTGAGACATGTAGAGATGATAAAACTGTTGCTTAGGTGTTCCTGTTAACACCTAAGCATTCTGGACCAACTC